ATGTGACTGGTCTCAGGCAGGGACAAGCCATGAAACGAATGGCAGTACCGTTGGTGGCTGACAGCACTCAAGACAGACGCCCAAAAATCTGTGCAGGCAGATCGTCCTGGTACTCGTGAGAAGGATCCCATCCATGCAGAAGGAAACAACAAGGTGGCACAAGGCCAGTTAGAACCCATTAGTGCCACATGGGGAAGGTCCTGGAGGCTTTGTGGCTCTGAGGAGGGGTTAAGGCTCCTCCTGCACATCTGGCGGAGCAGCAGCTGTGCTGCAGTGATCAATGTCAGCATTTGCTGTGAGGACTTGTTTCACAGAGAGGGGGTGGGAGTAGGTGTAGGATCAGGGTTGGTTACAATGTGCCTTTCAAACTTTTATTGATTTCTTAATCTCTTCTTAAAAAAAAAAAAAAAAAAAAGAGGAAGGGAAGAAAGAGAAGAATTTTGCTGTGAGCCCGGCGGGACTTATTTCCCCTCAGATCTACCCACTCTCACCCACATACCCAGAGGGGTCTCTTCTTACCGAGTGCAAAGTCCCAGCCAGTTTTGTTCCCTAAGAACATTTCACCAGGGAAAGGGAGGCAAAACAGCCAAACTCACAGTGTCAGAGTGGGTAACCTCACTCACCTGTCTGGTAAACATACTACCTGAGCATGCCTTAAAGTTCTGGTCCAGCTGGCACTTAAACATGGACCCAACCTCAATAATTTGGGCTGTGTGAGATTAAGCAAGCATGTGGAATGAGTATGTACTTAAGGACCTGGCCCAGCTGAGGTCCACAACAGGGAGTACTTCAGGCCTGACCATCCACTGGTCTGCAGGTGGTCAAGGATCTCTGCAAAGGACATCGCCACACTGCGCTCCCAGTGCAGAGACTGAACTGGCCAGATTTTTTTGAGAGTAGTGGTGCAGAATTTGAGGGCCTGAAGTGAAAACATATGTTGGTAAGGGTGTGAAGACATATCGAAATTACTGAATTAAAGTTCATTGGTGGAACCGTCTGCAGCCCAGGGCACAAGAGGCATTGCAGCCATAGTCTACATGAGTAGAAGCAATTCACAGCTCTGGAGAAAGGGTTTGGAAAAAGCAGAAACAAAAGGATAAGACTGATATGGGTAGGGAAATAGTAAAATGAGAAACAATGAAAGAGACAGCAGTAAAACATGCATCTGTGATTTAATCCTGGGTGAATACCCAGATTATTGACATCAGTTTCTGCTGCTTATTTGGAGCTTACTTTGGAGCCATGTCTCCCAAGGCTAACGCAGCTGTGATACAGCTCAGCAGAAAGCAAAACCAAGGATTTATCCCAGCTATGGCTGTTCCTGTACAACACAGGCATTAGGCAAAACTAAAGTTTGTATGGAAAAGTTGCCTTTCCAACACTTACGCTCATAAAAATAAAGCTGGCATGAGCTGGTAGAGCAAGGAAGTTCAAAAGCTTCACAGTTTCTCTTCACAAATTTTCACATCATTTTACAATGAGTGTCAGTGCTTAGATGGGCTTTGACGGTCATGAATGCTAAACACGCCTGCTATCTCTTGATCCAGTTATGGGTCCTTGACACTGGGCTCCATCGCCCCGTGCACTCCAGTAAGGTAAAGGTGCTCATCAAGCCAGGTCTGCTGCAGGGGCTCAGTTCAGATGGCTCAAAGCTTCTCGCCGGGACAAGCCAAACTGCGTCAAGAGGATGAAGACAAAATGATTTATCTGAGATTGGACAAGAGCCCAGAAGGTTGCTGGTGTTGCTGCTGGAGGAGGTGCAAACAGACACTGCCGCGGCTAAAAGGGGCTTCCCCTAAAAGATGCAGCTCACGTCTCATGTACTGCACAGCAGCTGAGATGTGGGCATCTGGCTGAGCAAGTCGAAGATAGAGACCAGCCATTTCAGGAACATGGTCGGTTTGAGAAAGCCGTCCTTGCCTTCTCTGGCAGCTGTGCACTGGAAAATAAGCAGCCAATTTACCAACTTTCATTGTTTTCCACTGCAGACAGCCGTCATCTTCACTGCCTCACAAAGGCTGGCTCTCGTTCGCTCACTTTCTGAAAAATTATTAACGAACAGAATCCATGCAGAAGAAATGGCTTGTTTTTGCTCTTGTGTTTAACTAGGTCAGCCCATGAGAAACATCCAACCAGCCGCTCACCTGATCCCACTGCGGTGGTCAAGTTCCTTGCCTAACCTGTTAGGAACAAAGCTGTAAGGTGAGACATTTTAACAAGGCCGTTGATGTTCTTGGAGATAAATGTGTTAAGTTACTGCTCGTTTTGCCACTTGCAAGCAGGGAGGGGAAGGCTGGTCCTCAGCAGTTAAAGCGTTACTGAGCACCAGGGGCAGCTGGCATCTGCTGAGAAAGGCACATGGAAAACATGACGCCAAGCAAGTGGGGCTAATTAACACCAGTTTCTTAAATTAGAAGGCTCTTAATGGCTAATGTTTAAAAATAACACCTTAATGACATCTAAAAATAGCTACTGCCAAGGTCTGGAGTATTCCGACCTCCATTAAACTGGGAGTCCATTTCCCGTGACTGGTGGTGTAAATCACATTTACCTTTTATATCCTGTTCTCCCTGGGATTAGCTGCAAAGCCTGATGCCTGACCTTGAAATCCTATTTGCAAACACGCGAGAGTAACCTAGAGCACCCTTCTGAATGGTGTGCAATATACAGATATAATGTGTGGGCTGAGTAATTGGATAGAGTATAATCTCAGGTTGCGCTCATCTGCAGACACGCACAGGGAAAAACACTGGGGGAGTGGGACACTATCAGACCAGACAGCGACCAGGAATGTGAAGGATGGTGCTGGGGTTAGGGCCTGGGACTGCGGCGCATGAGACCCAAGCTCCGTTTCCAGCTCAGTTGCAGATTTCCTGTGAGACCTGGATAGGTCTCTCGTCTTCCTGCTGTGCCCCAAAGCAATGTCTAGGTCTCCCTGATCCTGTAGGGGTATTACCAGGATAATTTCTCTGAGGGAAAATACTACTTAGTTTTCCTTACGCTTAATATATTAGCTAAACTCAAATAATCTGGAAGGCAAACATACGTCGAGGACTTCTAGAGCTCTTACCCAAGCATGTGGTGGGAACAGAAATAAAATATCTCCAGTACTGCTGGAGATAACCATTTGCTTACTTTTGCCTAAACTCAAATAATCTGGAAGGCAAACATACATTGAGGACTTCTAGAGCTCTTACCCGAGCATGTGGTGGGAACAGAAATAAAAAAGTACTGGAGATAACCATTTGCTTACTTTTGTTGCGTTCCTCTGCGCCGTGCTTGGCCCTATCGCAATATTCTGTGATAGCTGGTACAACGAGAGAAATCTGCAGCTTGACCTTCCCTGACAGAATGCAGAGAGGCCCTGTGGCATCTACCTAGAAAAATTATTTCTGATACAAACCTCTCTGCATTTGTCTCACTATTTGCAAATTAGACAAATTACTTCAACAATCACATAAACCCAGTTATTTTCATTTAAGCATTATGTAAAGAGTATCTGAAAGGCCAGAAAGCCCTAAGAGTAGGAAAATGTTTTCCTAAAACTAGCCACACTAAAGGAAAACTGGTCTTTGTTTTTTCTCTTCCCTTCTAGTGAGAGGGCTGGCTACTTCTCCACGGATCCTGTCCAACATGGCATTCCTCCCCATCCTATGTCTGTGCACAACAGGCATGCTCCAAATGAAAGAGAAGGAACATGTGTAAGTACAAGTATTGTTGTTATGCCGAGATCGGTGCGTGCCGCCACGTGGTCTGGAGGCAAACACTGATGAGCACCTCAAGCACTCCTGCCTCATTAGTGAGATAAGGGGAATGTAAACCAGCTTTCACTTTCCTCCCTCTGCATTATTTCGTTGTTTTAATGGTCTTCATTAGTTTGGTCAGATGGTTTTGCTCCCTTTGCCTGCTAAGGTCTGGTTCTGCAAACACTTAACGCTTTCTTCTACGAACATGCGTTGAGCACATGCATGGGTCTTTGCAGAACTGGAGCCTAAATTTGTTTCTGTTTCTGAATTCCAGGTTGAATTTTGATGCAACAATTATTTTATATATTAAAATATCAGGTTTCTGCCCACACACATAACGCATGATGTATAACAGACCTTGCAAGGCAGCCATCGGAAAAGACCACTTAATCTGCGATTTATACAGAAGGAAGAGTTACTATTCCTTGTTTTGCAGCTAGAATTTATAAGCAATCAAACTGTGAATGTGTTGCTCCTCAGAAGCTCCATGATGTACATCTGGTTTCACATGCTGTCATTTTGCCCACAACCTAAAATCATAAGCCAAACCTCTGCAGAGGCTAATGAAAATTATTCCCCTTTGAGTTACTTTAATAAAACGCAACCTCAAGAAATACTGGCAAGTCAGGAAAGCGACTTTAATCCAATACTTGGTATCCTCTTCCACAGGTTTTAAATCACTGTCTTTGCCCCCTAGTTTGAGCAAATACACCCTTATTGTTTTCCTAGTCCTGCTATGACCTTCTGGGAATGTTTTGATCGTTTAAAGCAACCTGCAGTTCCCTACTTTATAAATCTCATTCATTGCAAATGTTAACACTAGCTAATTCTCTGCTTTAGAAAGGAAATCATGTTTGTTTTTTTGAAGAGTCTACTGGGAAGAGGAATATTTGCATTTAAAATATTTTTTTCCATTTCATAAATTGTCTTGAGTTTTCTTCCCAGTGGGCAACAGGAGACTGTTTATATAAGTGAAGAGGGAAGCTTACTTTCCCATTACTTCCACAAAAGTACTATTAACAGCGATAACTATGCTAATTATTGCACTAACTACACTTGGAATGCACCTTACTGGCTGAAGAGGTAATGCATTTGGGTAATAATTAACTCCTTTTTTCCTCAATTACCTTTTATTAGGAGAGCAGAAGGTGTCAAAGTAAAACAGCTGCATATCTTCCAAGAAAAGCTCGTGTTTTCCGAAGGAATTCAAGCGGAGGTGCTTTATTAAGAGAACTAAGCAGGACAAACATTAACATGGCAAGCTCGGCTGTTCAGTTGCTTGGCTTCTCTCTAAGCCTGCTCGGCCTAATTGGGACATTAATTGCTACTATTCTGCCACACTGGTGGCGAACGGCACATGTAGGCACCAATATTATAACAGCTGTGGCCTATATGAAAGGGCTTTGGATGGAGTGCGTCTGGCACAGCACCGGCATCTACCAGTGCCAAGTCCACCGCTCCCAGCTGGCGTTGCCCCGTGACCTCCAAGTCGCCCGTGCCATGATGGTAATTTCCTGCGTCCTTTCCACGCTGGCATGCGTGATCGCTGTCATCGGTATGAAGTGCACGCGGTGTGCCAAGGGGACTTCTGCCAAAGCCTCCATCGCCGTCTCTGGGGGAATCGTTTTCATCCTGGCTGGTCTCGTTTGCCTGGTACCTGTTTCTTGGACCACTAACGACGTTGTTACAGATTTCTACAACCCCATGCTTCCCAGTGGGATGAAGTACGAGATAGGTCAAGCTCTTTACCTTGGCTTCGTCTCCGCATCTTTGACGATCCTCGGCGGTGCTCTGCTGTGCACATCAAGCCAGTGTCGTGAGAACGAGACACCTTACCAGATGCAGCCCAGCAGCGTAAGAAGGACTGCTCCCTCCTGTAGACCACCGACTGCCTACAAGGGAAACCATGCTTCTTCCCTGACATCTGCTTCCCATAGTGGCTACAGATTAAATGACTATGTGTGAGTTCCCTAAGATTTGCCTGCGGGATACAGCTGCTTTATAATTTCTGTGCATGGCACAAAACAAAGCTAAGACGACTTTTAATTTATAAGGGTTGTGATACAAAGTTTACCATTGTTCGTTTCTTCCTTTCCTTTCTTTCCGAAGAGAGAAAGATTGCGAACACAAAACTGCTTGCTGCAAAACCTGGAAAATAAGTACAAAGGAGGCTGTGACAGTCCAGAGACAGCACAGACCTGCCTACTTTCAACTGGAGTTTTGCAGGCAGCCAATTCAAGGGCAGTTTTGCTAAAAGTAATAGTTTGGTTTGTAGTTTCTGCCCTGGGAAGAGCACTAGGGCGGAACTGGTCACAACTTGTTGTTTGAACAGTGTTCCAACAAAAGACGCCGTTTTGCCTAAAACTGAGAACTTCATGGTGAGAGACAGTGATTTTCAGCAGTGATTGCCTGCTAAGTTTCTCGTTTCCATAACGTGTGAGTGTTTCATTATGACAAGGTGTTAGTTTGGCTTTGACTTAACTTTCTGTTTGATTTTTTTTTGTAGTCTCTTGAAATACGAATTTCAATAGCATTTTGACAGATGTATTTGACAGAATGTTATAGCAAATATTTTAAATTATACTACAATGTTTTGACCTTATTAAAATAAAATTTTAGCACATTTTTGGAACAAGATGATGCATTGTAATGGAAATAAACCATCTCAGTGTATCAGAATTGGGTTTTTAGAAATGTCAGTAGTAGCACAAAACTAGACATTTGATGTTAGACTTTTATTTAAAAAATTAAAAAGAGAAATTAAAATTAGAATTTGTCACAGAAGAGGCATTTAGGTCTTCAGCAGATTTAGCATTCTGTACAATCTATGCATTATACAGATCAGAAAAACACTTTCTAGAATCCTATCCCCAAATATCATGTAATGAAATGTACTGGTTTCTTAGGGCCAGTCCTGATGGTTTTTGCCTGGGGTCCTCAGTGAAGGTACATTAAGGGTAGTAAGAATATTTCCATCTACTCCAGCGGCATTTGGGAAACTTCCATTCTGCCAAGCTTCAGCGCACAAGGCAGCCTCCTTACCAGCAATGGTTACACTGATGGACCATGACCACTGCTGGTCAGGAGGAATATAAAATCAAGACGTTTACTTCTAAAATCCTTGTGAAATGCAATCATTCCTCAGTGTGTTCAAACAATTAAAAAACAAACTAATGAACAAAGAACTCCAGCCCTCTCCATTTCATGTTACAGTGAAGTCCAGTGCAATACACACTATGGTATAAAACATCACAAAAAATAAAAGCACTAGATTCCTCTTAATCCCAGAAAGCTATAGGTTTCTCCAGAGCAACATATGGACCAACACACTGACATTCAGTAGAATTAAAAAAAAATAGTTCCAGGCAGCTACACTTGGTATACTTTATTTGGCAAAAAGCCTGTTTGCAATTACATTATCACCCAGTAATACCCCCAGAGCTGGGATCCTTTCAACATTTCCCCTGGTTTCTCTCTGAACCCTCCTTTCCATGTTTGATCACATAGCCTTTTTTTTCATGTAGATCTGAATTGTCACAGTGTTTTTCAGCATTGATTCAAGTTATCATCATCACTGTTTTTAAAAAGCAAAATGTCATTTCTAGGAAATTTGCTGAGACCAACAATAACAAAAAGGATCTGGGACCAGGCTTTGGTGATTGATTGGTAACAACTGCTTATAAACTCATGTTTTATTAACTGTAGCTATTACATACGATGTGAAAAAAAAATTGTACAGAAAATTCACTGCCGCTGCAAACATCTTAATAACAGACTCTGAGGTGCAAGGAATGAACAGAAGCTGCTTTGACAATGGCTTCTTAGAGAATATGGAGTCAAACTGTTCATAGTCCACTACAGATTTTCTGGGATGCCTTTTTCGGATGAAAGGTTGCCTAATGAAGGTGGTGGATTATGTAGTGTTTTTTCTGTGTTTACATTACAATAGGTCTAGCCAAGTGATTACATATCAACTTCGAACAAGGACTTTGGACAGCCATGAATACTGGAACATGAGTCCAAGTGCAGGAAATGGGCTTGTGTCTCATTAGGTAGTATTTTTGCTATATACTGATAAATTAATTCACTTGCCAAGATGCTTGTGCAGTGGGAATACTTATGTGTAGTGCTATTCTCACTGCACAAATTCCCAGCCAAGCAGGATACGAGACAGTAGTAAGAACGGTTTATAAAGTCCTGGCAAAAATACCTGGAAGTGCTCTGATGTCAATACAGAGAAGGAAATGGTTTCTTTCACAGGGGCTGCGAAACAGTGGATCTTGTTCTGTGCTAAAACTGACATAAATTTCTGCTTCTTTTTTTTTATGCTGCCTTTTGAAACAAAAAAAAACCATATCCATTCTAGCAGCCTTAGAGGTTGGGCTGAACTACCCCAGACTGACGTATGTGCCGATAACCCGAGCTCCTCCCCTGCTTCCTTGCTGCCATGCAGACCAGTGGCCAAACCTTCCTCTCTCCTTGCCTGGGGCCTGGCTTGCTGGTCCCATGCAGGCAGTACGATGAGGCTTTGCTCTGAGATTTTAGCCAGGGAATGAATCCCCACTGCCCCTCCTTTGCCAAGTAATCCCTTGGTCATCAGTGGCATCGATAAGTGACAGTGTCAAGGAAAGGGGATGCATTTCAGAAGGGCAGAGCTGCCCTGAAAACCAGGGCCTGAGATGCACCGTGCTCTTCACTGTCACAAAACCAGATAGAGCCACTGGTCAGACAGAAGCTTTCTGGGTCATGAACTGGTTGGTATTTTCGTTCTGGTTTTTCCACAGTGCTGAGCACAAGTACTAGAGGGAGGTAACTTATAAACCATATCAAAACTTCACTTGTTTATTCAAGAAATGTGTCTAAGTTAACTAATAAGATGAGGAAATGAACTGAATTCAGTCATTAGAAGTTCTGCTGATCTAAGACAAAGTTACCAGACCTACGATTAGCTAGCAATTAAGGTTTTTCACATCAGTGTATTAAGATCAATGGAAATTCTGTGTCCTGTAAATATGTACCACTAGCTTGTTTACTTTGCCATATATCCCATAAGATGGTTTTTGTATGTAAGAAAGATAGGCGAGGGGAAGGTGTTTCACGAGGTCCAGGAGCAGCTTAAAGAAGAGTTGAAAGCTTGTGCTTATTTTTGTCCCTAGCTGATCTGCTTAAAGATATTATCACTTCGTCACATGCCTTGTTGTGCTGTGCAGCATAGAAGAAAAATATGTCTTTTTTTTACTTGTTTTCTTGTTTTCTTAAAAAGTTCGTGTAGCTTAGCCCATGTGTTCTGGTTATCCATGTTTCCGATTCTTACCACTAAACAGGCACCTGGTCATTTTCATTCACAGGTTAATTCGTATCCTTTCCTGTTCTTCTTCCCATGACATCAGAAGACATGTCTGAACCTAGTGAGACTTGATCCTGAACAAGCATAAATCAGAGAAGCTCTGCTGAAGTCATGTTATCCCTCTTTCTCCCCCTCTCCCTCTCTGCAAGGCAGTAGATCTAGATGAGGTGTCCCCCTTCACTGAGAAACCTGCCAGTTTGTAAGACAGTTTTCCATAAACACAAACATCTGAACGGGCTTAAAACGTTCCACAGACGGGAAAGGCAAGATATACTGACCTCCCTCTTTTTCCCTTTGAAGAAGGCTTTCTGGGGGAAAAAATTGTTAATTTTATTTTATGCCTTAGGCATGAGGAAAATCCATTCATTTCATTAGCTTGTACTTAAAATATCTTTGGTAAGCAAACTGTTAGAAAGTAGAGTGAATGAAAAGAGTGAATCAATGTGCACATTTGATCTGTTAAGAGCATATGTATATACTTCATATACGTGTGTGGATATACAAAATGGTGAGATTCTGGCTCCATTGACTTCAGTGAGGTCAGAATTTCACCCATAAGCTTATTATTATTGTCAATACTTCCAAGTCTATTATAGAGCTTTTAACTAAAAGGCCTCCAGAGCAAAGAGACTCAAAGTCATGGGAGTTTTGCCCCTGTGAGAGAGAAAACAAGGAAAGACTTGCAACGGCCATTTCACAAAGTGTTTCATATTGAACAAAGCAGTTGTAACTGGTGGCGTGTACGAGAGAGTCCTCCCTTCCACGAGTCAAGGACAACCAATTTTATTTTTAAAATGTCATAATCACTGGTATTGATCAACGCTCCCTAATGGGGGTGCTCTCGAATCCATACAGGCTTGGGCTATCGCTACTTCCCTGGCAATTCAGGCTCAATTAGGCTGCCTTGCTAATGCATGTCAGCTTCCTTTAATTGCTCTCAGGCCCGCAGTGTGAGAAAAGGGCAAGCTGACAGAGTAATCCCACACTTCCACTCTGCAGTGAGCTGCCTATTTGTTTTATTTGTTCGCATTTTAAAGGGCTAAGCACTTGTTATACGGAAAACACAGGAGAGCAAAAGTCAAGAAGTATTAATAAGCCTTGGAAAGCAGAGTTAGTTGCTTCTGCAAAGAATTGCTGATGTTTTCAGTACTTTGAAAAGAGGGTGGATTTTGTAGCTGATGAGGGTGCTGAGTAGCATTCCTCTCACGGAAACCTCAGTAAAAAACGGGTGGACCAAGTCTCATCTAACAGCTACATCCTGTGGAAAACAAGCTGTTTGTTCCTTGGTCGGCCGATGGTAACGTGGCAGAAGCAACCCCTAAAGGAAGCTGGTAATGAGCTCGGGATCATAGAGTTATGGTTTCTTCCACGATATTTAACATTCATGTTAACAAATGTTAATAAATCAGGAGACGGGGGAAGAGAGGGGTGGCAGGAAGCCAGCAGAAGGGAAATAGCCATTAAACGCCTAAGATCTCCAGTCTGTGAAAGAAGTATGTGTGTAGCTCACATTTCCCACAGCAGAGAAGTTGTGAGCTGAAACAAAGAAATCACCCGTGAGTACCAAAGTGCCTGGCTGTGGACTGAAGCTCTTGGGCCTTTGCATCTAGATCTGAAA